CTATAATAAAAAATCTTTGAAGTATCTTGTTTTAAAAATAGCAAATTAATTTCTATCGTGTTAATGATTGCACGTGACGATTGTCAAAAATGACAGTACCGAGTACGAGTAAATATATTCGACTTTCTTGTCAAACTTAGACAACTTCCTCCAAACTTTCTGCGGAGTAATAAAAACACAACAAAAAGTTCAGAAAGAACTTTTTTGTGTTTAATAAATCCTACGTTACATATTTGTTTTGTTCTTAAAAACCAGGTCGAATTTCGCTTTCTGATGTCTAAAAGATCGAGATAATCCAACTTTGGATACATATCGATATTGTGAATTTATTTATAATATTAGCAAGTTTTCGTTGATGGAAACCTGGCCTGATTGTCATTGGACGAATCGAATAAGCATGTTGTCATCACAATTGTCGTCAACAAAATAAAAATCAGAATCAGCATTATAAAATTAGTCCCATCCCACAGCAAACATCGGTCTCAATTTACATAATTACATGAACAAATTATAGACACTTAGTTACCAGAAATATGTAATTGATTATCTAAAATTACCGAGTGGATGAGCATTTCAGGAGTCGCAGATATTTTGAAATGATTAAAGAAGTTTGTATACAAGGCATGATTTGAAGATTTGGACTATGGTACAACTTCTGATCTGAGAACTATTGAATTTATTGAAGCGAATTCAGTATTCTATTTCAAACGAGCGCATATGTCACTATGCAATGGCATAGACTCAATCACTGATAACCAAAACTTCAATAATATATACAAAATTCTACTGCTATATTGAAATGCATATACATTCAATTCCCCTAAATGCAACTTCCCTAAATGCATGCATTATATTTATTCTCTTTAAATCGTGGCATGGATTGGTCCCAAGCTCTAAATATTTACTCTCCATAAATGCATGTCATGGCAGTTTTGGTCATATGGTCCCGACAGATTGCATTTAGAGAGGCTTAAAAACTTACTCAGAAGCATCATCTTAACAAAACTATTTTTCTAATAAATTTAACATATCGATATTGTTGCCAGTCAAAAAAGCCAGCACCAATCAAAACATGCTCATTAAACCTGTTTTTCTCTACATACGTATTTACTTTTTCCCATCACCATATCGTTATCGATAACGTTAATGCTAACATATAATATTAATAAGAACAATAACGAGAAATAAAGTATCAGATGCAATTTTTTATCGTCTTATTATTATTGATATACATATTAACGTTAACATTTGATCTTATTATTATATTTATTTAAAGATAATTACGTATTTAGCATTCGCTCCTTATCATTATCATTATTTGCTATTTAGCATTATGTATTTTAATCGATCAATATGACATCAGAAACCTCAACAAATTTACTATTAATTAATGAGTTTATTAATGGTAATAACTTCAAATATAAAAGTACTGACGACGATGATAGTACAAGCTTTGTATCTGAAAGTACAATATCTGATTATTTTGATTCCAACGACTATGATAAAGAAATAGAAGTCCTCACTTTAGATGAAATAGGATTGAAGAGAGCTAGAGCTAGAGCTTTTGTTGAAAATGATGAGATTTTTGACAATGAAAATTTTTGGGAAGATGATGAGGAATTTGAGGCATATTCAACATCTTCAACAAATTTAAATTTGATTACTTCAGATTTTTCAAAGGATGATAGTATACTTATAGAAAACATCGAATCTAATATTAATAATACTGAAAAAGTATTAAGTCCTTGCGTTATCTTGAATATAATTAATAATTAAATTCAATAATGTTGTAATATATCTGTTCACCAAAGACCTCTTAAACAATTAATTGGAACATGGGAAATTGATAAGAAAACTTTTGAAAAAGCAAGATCAGATATCAATTTCACAATCTTGGCATTTGTTCATCTCATTTTGCATACGACAGAGCTAAATTACATTCATCACATCTTAAAAAACAGCGATCAATTGAAAAGAGTTGGACATTATCTTTTTTGTAATCAATATAAATCATTTTTTAGTCATGAAAAGAATTGTATAGAGCATTCAATACGCGTAATTGGAAGAAATATTCAAGTATCTTGTACTGATCATAAAACTTGTTCTATTTTTAATATAGAAGATATATTAGATATAATTTTTATCAAGTCAGAAGATGAATATAGATCTTGATACATATGTTCTTAATGCTTCAATAAACAAGGTGAATATTTCTATGAAAAACAGGAAGTGAAAAAAATCATAATTTTTTTATATAGAAAAATATAAAAATGATATTACTGAAGCACTTCAACTTTTTGGAAATTGGATTTTGCAAACAGCAACTTCAGATAATGAAGAAAAAAGCAAGAATTATTGATATTATTATTAACAATTCTAATAACAAAAATATTTACAAAAGAATCAAAAGAATCAAAAGCTTCTTAATCCTTTTATTATCAAAACAATATTTAAAATTAGGCAAATAAATATTTCAGAGCTTTCAAATAAATATTTTAAATTCATTCCAGAAGTTTCTTCTCAAATTAAAGAACAATTAAGAGTTGCTGTCTGAAAATCTCAATCTTTGATATATCAAACTAAAAAAAACTTGAATCATTTTCTTTAAAAGAATATCAAAATTCATTTTCATCTTTTTTAATATTATTTTTTAATTTATTTATTATAATTTTATATACAAAAAATATAAAGTCATTTATCAAAAAAGAATTAGTAGAGATTAATCAATAACAATAAATGAAATGGTTGATTGTAGATATGGTCTAAAGTATTGAACTGTCCAGACTACACCTAAGCATTCTAATTCAGTGACACAATAATTTCATTCATGTGTGCTGGTTCTTCTACTAGCATAAGCTACTACATGTTCTTTATCATCTGTTCCTTTTTGAGCAAGTACAGCACCTAATCCAAAACTAGAGGCATCGGTATATAAGAGAAATGGTTTTTCAAAGTCAGGATAAATTAAGATTGGTGA